TACGTTTGTATAAAAGGTAATTATTTATAAGTAACAAACTTGATATTATAAGTAACAAAATGAATTCTATAAAAAAAAATTAATTCTATGATAATTTACTCACTTAAAATTTATCATGAAATGATCTTCTTTAGAGATGGCTCTCATATTGATAAAAATGTAAGGAATGCTGATCAATTATTATCTCATATACAAAAGAATAATAGCTTAGCATTCTACATAACTGGATACAGACATGATATTAATTCTGATAACGTAAAAATGGTAACGAATGGTAAGTTATGAAAATTCCGTCAATAATTTAACAATATTTTTATTTCTACATTTATTTCGTTTTCGCTTGTGTATGTAATAAAAATTAAATTAAATATATTTACATTCAATCGATGCGATTTTTTTTTGCATTTATTTAATCGAGCAGGGTTATTCCCATAAGGTTATCTTCATTTTAAGTCAGCAATAATACAGCTGTTCGCACATCAAGTTAATAATCTTCATATTTTTTTTATTATGATGATTTATTTGAATTATTAAAGGCTAATATATATATTATATATTATTAGTAATTAATTATTAATTATTAGTAATTAACTATCATTTTATCAATTTATAAAGTATATTAATAATTTCTTTGACAATACATCATTCATTTACAAAATTATAAAAGTCTTTTTATTGTTGAAAAAATCAATCAAAATTAAAATGTATGTATTATTAGTATGTATTAAATAATTTTCAATCTTTGGAATACAAAATTTTTTATATCAAAATAATAATAATAAAAGATATATTAAAATACATGATCTTTTGGTTATTTCATGATGTTAAATGATGGTTTATTGTTATTACATTATACAATTTTACAATTTATAAAATATTGTAATTTATAAAAATTGAAATGTTTATATTATAATACTATTATTAATGTTTATACTAAATAATATAATAGACAAGATAATATATATGTTAATATATTCACTTCATAAATGAAGTAAGTATTAATATATTCAGAAATGAAACTCTATTTCTATCATTTCATCTAAAATATAGATAAACTTCAATTAATATTTTTATTTATTTGTTTTGACTTTTAAAATCCACTTTCTAAAAATGTTCCAGAAATATTTACATCTTTCTATAATTTACATAGTAATTTACAGATTTATATAAATAATTCATGAACTTACTAAGAGTGCATTATTATATTTTTATTCTTAGCATATTTATAAATTTATTAAACTTAAAAAACAACAACAATTTTTTATCAATCTTCTATATATAAACAATTAAAAAAAATCAAATTATTTAGCAATAATAAAAACTTAGCAATAATAAAACTTAAAACATATTTTATCAGAAATTTCTTAAATATAAATTATTTATATATTCCAAATATAAATTAAAAAACTTTTAAAATAACAATGATAAATATATTTTACCTATTTCTGAAATTAATCAAAAATGATTCGACAAAATTATCGAATTATGAAATATTTACTTTTCATTTTCATTTTACAATATATTGTATTGCATTGCAATATCATTTAAAGAATAATTAAATTTTAATTTTTCCTGAATTATTCTAGCATATTTAAAGAATACACAGGATAATATTTTGGCACTCGATTACCGGGATATTGCTGCTCAATTTTATCCAATTTCTGTGGTAACAATGAAAAAACTCAGCACACTTGTGGCCGATGCTTTGAACAATTTAGTGAAGGGCGGTGTGGATGCAGAAAAGATACATGTAATTGGATATTCACTTGGTGCACAAATTGCAGGCAGAATTGGTCGTCAAACAATCTTCAGAATTCCTAGAATAACAGGTATCGTTGTGAATATTTTATTTCTTCATTAGAGAACTAAAAATGCAATATCTTAAAGAATTTAAAAAAAATATTCAATTAAATAATTTAATGATTACTTAATAATAAAATAATCTTTTAATGAATCTTTTTAATGAAAAAATAATCTTTTTTGTGTTGTAATTTTTTATTTAATAACTTTAAATTTTCTTGTATCTTAGATTCTAGTTACGAGATTTTAAGATATTTGGATGCATTCAACATTTCTTTTATAGGCTTAGATCCTGCTGGTCCTCTTTTCTATCTTCTTAATGATCGATTGAGTACCTCCGATGCTGTGTTCGTAGATGTTATACATACAGATAAAACTGGCTATGGAACAGCTCTGAAAGTTGGTCATGTGGATTTTTATCCTAATTATGGCCACAGACCGCAACCAGGTTGCCCGTTATTCGGTTTATTACTGTCGCCGAAAGGTTTGTACAAAATGTATAACTCTTAATTTTTTTTTTATTTTTTGACTCGTTCCTTGAAAATTTTCGATAAACATTTTTTCAGTTCAATTTTAAAATCACAGTATAATCAATAATGATCAATTATAATCAAATAATCAATTCATCTTGAATATTAAGCACATGATGCTGTTTTAAAAAAATATCAAAAAATTGATTTTAAAATGATTTTTTCGTTTTTATATTAATTAATAAATATTATAAGCTTGTTCTAAAAAATTTTTTAATATAATGATAAGATATAATGATAACAAGAAAAGTATATAGATATTCTCTTTCTTATGGCTCATTTCAATGAATTATTATGAAATTTCCTTTATTATCAAACTTTTAATTATATTATTATAAGACATTTTTTATCATTTAATGGAAAAGGATTGAATAAAACAGAAATCGATTCCAAAAAGTTTCTCATTGCTTTTCGTTTATACATGTTACAGATCTTTGTAGTCATCGTAGATCTTTTGAATTCTATGCGGAATCGATTAGAAACAATACAGCCTTTATTGGTAAATGTACAAATTTCCAAGTTTGGGGTTGTGACGGTGTTCCATTTATTCCTATGGGATACACTACACCGAATAATGCGTTAGTATTTTATTTTCACTAATTTTTGACAATTTTTAATAATCCATATTGTTTCTTGTATATTATTTGCAATTCTTTACTATAATTTTTATATTTCTCTTTATAAAAAAGAAAGGAAACTTTTTAAAGTTTTTCTTATTGTATTTATATTAATATTTTTTTTATTTTTTTATAATAGATTATTTTTATAATTCTAGGACGGGTAGTTATAATCTTTTAACGAATGAAAATAGCCCTTATGGTCGAGGTGTAGATGGAGCTATTAATGCTTTTTAGGATATCTATTTAAACTAATTACATTTATAATGTTATTTTATATTTACATAAATGTGTATTAAATATTTAGATTGCAAAATAAATTATTAATTTCATCATGAGATATTAATTTTGTTGTCACTATTTGCAATACATGTATGATTAATCTTGTAGTTGATTAAAAGAATTCTGTGTATAAAATGGATAATAAAATCGTAAAAGCATAACTTCTTCCATAAAGTATTCAATCTTTCATTCAAAGTATTTAATGATTCAATACTCTTTTTAAAGTTTATTCAAACTGAGCCAATTTAAATTTTTTCACTAATTTTTTTCTGAATTATTTCATTTTTTTAAGCCATCACAATAATCTATACTTGAGATTACAATATTGAAGAGATTTTTTATTTATATTTTTAAATTATAATTATATCAGAATTGTGGTAATTCAAGAATGAGAAGAATCAAACTTTAAAATTATAATTAAATTTTCAAATGAATTAGTAAATATAAATATTCACGTTATTATAAATAAATTAGAAAAATTTAGGACATACATAATATGCAAGAATACATAAAACACATAAAATATTCAAAGAAAAGTATTTAATAAATTTTGAATTTTCGAATTCCATTTTTTAAATCATGTTTTTAAAAATATTTGCATAAATATCTGCAGATTAATTATAATTATTATATGTTTTACTTTCAAGATCATATCATAAATAAATAATCACAAATTAAATATACATATGTTCCTCTTTTATTATCAATTTTGTATTAATCTTGTATTGATAATCCTGATAAAAATTTATATGTATGTGTGAGATAATATCAAAATATATAAACGAAAAAATGATTAAAAATGTATTATTTTTGTGAACAAATTGAAAAATTTGATCTGGTTTTCTTGGTATCTTGGTTTCTGGTTTTCTTGATCAATCATAATCAATATTAATTAATCTGTAATTCATAAGAACAATAAATATTATTAATGTAATTAATGATATTGATTACATTTGATATTGAAAAAAATTAACATTATTTTAAAATCATTTTAAAAATTTCTATTCAAATAAATATAAAGCATTCCAAATATGTAGAGATATAGATAGTTTCTATATATTGTATAAATCATAGATAGTATCATATCTATGATTGTATAAATCATAGATAATATCATGATAGATAATATCTATGATTTATACAAAAGGAAAAGATAAAAGATTGTGATTGATATGTGTAAGATATATATTATAAATCTCTTATTATTTAACAGTTTTTGTTTACAATATGGTACAATATGGTACTTCTGAATTTCAATTATTAAATCCTTGTTAACCTTACTATAATACTATTTGTATAAAAGAATAGATAAAAATATAGCAATTTAATATTTCATTAGAATTTTAACAAAATTAAATATGATTTATCTCTTGTATTAAAAAAATGAATGTTAAAAAAATATTAAGAATTTTATTTTGATTAAGATTATTATTATATTATATTATAACATCGTAAATAATTTTAATGAAAAGTTTGCCTTTATTTTTTATAGAATCTTGTCTTTCTATATTTTAATTTTAGCTAAAATTTATGTATAAAAAAATGTAAGAAAATTTATTTTTATTTTTTCCTTCTTAATGTAAATAAATTAAAATAAATAAAGAAAAAGAATAAGTATGTAAAACATAAAAATATATCTACATAGATTACTTGTCTAATCACATTGTTCATTGTTACATAAATATTTTGTACAAAATGTTTGGTATTAATTACAAAAAACGGCAAAACTTATCATTATATTGATTAAAAAATTAAAAAATTTTCTTCTTTTCGGGTTATATGTACTCGTATTTTTTAAATTAACGTTAATTTTCATACAATATCGTTGTAATATTTGCAATTCTTTTTTAATTCATGTTCTTTCACAATCTCCATACGCTATCTTTTTCCAAATTTTTACATCACTCAAATTTTCTATATTGTACTCACTAATCTCATATTTACCCTCGTTTAATATTTAATCGTTAATTTAATTACAAAAATTCTTTATAATTGCTCCTCTGTATGAGATTCGAGATAAGTGAATTGTCGTTGTAATTGTTGTGTCATTGGTCGGAAAGAATCATTCCGGAAGCTTGCACTTCTTGCAGGTGCAGTGTGATTTCCATTTGCTTTGCGACGAACACTAATATATGTTGTGCATGTGTTCATACGTCGAAGGACAGAATGATTTGAATCATTGAAACCTGTAATTGAATAAATTACAGGTATTGTGTTAAAATAAAAAATACATAAATAAAATAACTTAATTATTAGAAAATATTTCAGATAAAACTTGTAGTTTCATTTTGATGTCGTTAGATTTTATGTAAATAATCGTATGATATATTTGTTTTAAATAGAATTATGTAATTTTTAATGCAGCTTGTTATTTCTCTTTGTATATCAATATATTTTACAAAATATATGTTACAAAAAAATGGTTAAAATTTGAAAAATAGAAGAAAATTTGTAAATAATTTTAATGAACTAATATAACTATCAAAATATCACAATTGAAAACTTTATTTTATTTTTTCAATAAATTTTTTAAAAAAATCATAGAATTTTTCGATTTTTATTACCTCAAATATGGATATCAGAATCATATTACCATGTGAATTAAATTTAAATTTAAATTTAATTCATTTAAATTTCTAAAAGTTAAGTATATTTTTTAAAAATTATATTTCTAATTCATTTTATTAAATTGTATTCAATGTTTTATAATATTAAATATTAGAATACCTGTTAAGGGAATATCCAAACTAGCATTATAATTATCACGTCTCTCTCTGCGAAGAATTCGATGTGTACCAGGTAAATGACTGATTGCTGTTATGAAGCCAGCTCGAAACCTTGCGTTCATCCAGCAATAAATTACTGGATTGTAACAGGAATGAGACATAGCCAACCAATGAAGAATCATCCATACAAAAGGAAACCAGGTCCAACTTCCAAGAGTTTCATTATTATCCATTATTAACTAAAATGTTTTACAATATCCTTAAAAATATATTGTGAAAATATAATTATTTTTTAAAATATAATATAATTTGATTTTTTAAAAAATGTGATTAAAAATTAAATTTAATTAATTTAAATTATTATTATTATTATAATTAATATTAAATTAATTTTCTTGTAATCTCTTTAAAATAAAATATATATTATTGTAACTGCTTTTTTTTGTAACATTTTGTTAGAATAGAAAAATAAGAATTATTGTTACTTACGTTCAATATATTGAATGGAAGCCAGCAGACAGTGAACACTATTACAACTGTCACCATCATTTTCACCATCTGAAATAAATATACAACTGATATTTTTTATGATATTATGTAAGGATTTTATATAATATAATTTTATATAAATAATAGTAATAATAAAAGTACGTAATATTTAAAATATTTCTACATTTTACCATAAATCTATGTTATATTTATAATTTAAAATTTTAATTAGATGAAATCAAAATAATTTAGAATCAACTTAAAATTCAAAAAAAAATTAATAGTTTTTTTATTATTCCTAATAATTTTCTTCAGAATTTTATGATATATTTTGAAATATCTTATGTTTTGAAAATACAAGTCAAATCATAAAAAAAACATGTTGGGTAAAATTTATAGGGAATATAAATTATACAAGTTAATGTGAATATACAGTTATGCTCGTAATTTCGTTCCAGAATTGTCTATTTAGAGTTGCCTTATTTTACTGTGATGCTGTACATGTGATGCAAGCAACATCTTTCACTAGAGAAATAGATTGCGATTAATTCATTTTTGTTTCTCATATGAATTTTAAAAATTAGAAATTTATTTTTATGATGAGAAATTATATAACACTAAATAAATTTCATTTTCAATATAATTTCAATAGTACCATTGAAATAATAATTGAAATAATAATTTCAATAGTTCTGTTAAAATCAGAGATCACTTTCAAAATAATATGCTTTCCATTTGACTGGATATTCATCTTGTATTTTTATAGAATTTTCGATCATTTCATTTTTATATAACAAATATTTATATATTAGATAAATCCGAGTTTACAATCCCTGCTTTTTTTATACATTTTTCTTTTATTTTTTTTTTTAGCTAGAGTTTCTATGTTACTGTAATATTTTCTATTTTAAAATTCTTTTTTATATTTTTTACTTTTTATATTTTCTGTATATTATTTTTAATAGATAGTATATTTTATATATCTTTTTATTATTATTATTATTATTATATTATTATTATTCTTTCTTCTATTTTCTGCATCATTTGTTTTTCACATAGACATATATGACGAAATAATCATGAAATATAACAATTGCTTAAAACAATTAAGTAAAAAATAAAAAAAATCTATCACAGTAATTCTCAATCAATTACGAGAATTAGCTAGATACCAATTAGCTATATCAATAATTTTTACAATATATCATATACAAATTTATTCAAGTTTGTTTTTATTATTAACTAAACTGTCATAAGTTATTTTCTCAATAATTAATGAAGATATTTATTTTAAATGTACAACAAACTTTTTGGAATAACTAATTAAAGAAAAGATTATAGATAATAGATTTATTAGTTTTTGAATTCCTAAAATTCTAAATTTATTAATATATATATATATAATACGAGATATTTTGATGATATTGGAATTTTAAAATTTTTATTTCAACAATACGCATTTTTAAAGAGAATTGCTGATCTATTCTATAATTCCTCATGCTTACTATTATTTTTTTTTGCCAACAAAAAATACACAAATATTCTTATTTTTATAGAATAATTATTGTTTTCGAATTGTACATAAAAGAAATTAAATACATATAAATATTATAGCTATCAATTCGAGTTTTCTGATTATTTCTATCATTTGTACTTTTTTTTTCATCCTTTTTCTATTTTGTCTTAACTGACATTTGTTCTTTTGCTCGCTTTTCAGACGCCATTTCATTCTCTTTACGTTCAAATACACTTCAATAAAAACGAATGCTTCTGTTATCGTACTCGTTACGGATAGAAGTATTTTCAGATGGTCGTGAAATAAATTAGGACACTTGTATTGAAAATGATTATACGAATTATAAATATTTTTGCTACTAGATTTCTGATAAACTCGATGTATTGGAACGAATCAAATTATTTATTTCGTTTCTATTCACAATCAATGGAACAACACAGCTTTGATAATTGATTCATCGTTCAATCATCATTTTTTGCCTTATTGATTGTTTAATCATTGTTTCAAAATAACGAAATTGAATTTCTATTATTATTAAATAAATAATTACGAAAAAAATATAATTTTGTTTAAAAAAAAATAAAATTGACTTTCATGTGATCTCTATGAAATATTTATCTATGAAAAAATAATCACTCTCTCAAAATGATTGAACTTTATATGAAAAATTATTAATCTTTTATTATTAACAACTTTTCTTTATTATTTATTATTTTCAATCTTTTTTGCATTTATCCAAAAATTATTGTAAATAAATAATTATATATTGTTATATGTCAAATATATAATTATTATAAATAAGCTAAATACATAATATTAAACAAATTACAATTTATATGAATTGTTTATGTCAATGATTACTATAATTGATTAAATTATCTATTAGTCATCATAGTTATCTAATCATAGTAATTATTACATGATTGATTAATATATTTTCAAAAAAATATTAGTTAATACTTTAATACAACAAATATATAATAATATAATATATATAATAATAAATAAAATTATTTATTATTAATGAATAAATTATACTTCTGCTAAAAGTAAAAATAATTTTCGATTAAAAATCGAATAATTTTTTTTCATTTGATCATTATACTGAATGAATGATTATTTTTTTTTAAAAAAAAAAGTCTATTCGATCAATAGAAGGAGCAATTGTTTCTCCACGAAATATTTTAAAATGAATATATGTTTTATATGAGTTATACATTAATATTTAAAGAAATATTTCAATTGCATATATTAAATTATACGAGATTGCAATAAATCCTGCATACAGATCAGACGAATATTTTATTTATGATACTTTATTGCAAGGATCTTATTTTAATGTAAAATGATTATTTTAATTTTTGTTGTTAATTTTATACAATTTTATACAATTATAATACATAATATTGATTAAGATCGATCCATAAATAGAACAATAAATTAAACATATTTTATTGGATATTAAATCATTCTTCTTTCTTTCATTCATCCATTTCTATTCTTACAAATTTGATCTAATTTATTTTACTGGATGATTTAATTAAAATAAAAAATTTGATATAATTAGTGGTTAAAGAAAATATAATAAAATTTTAGTTAAATATTTTATTAACGATATTGTCACGATGAATACATTTCATAAAGAATAATTTTTGTCTTGATATTTTCAATATCTTCAAATAGAAATAAATTTCTGTTTTCATTGAAAGATATCCAAGTTAAATTAATTAATCAATTAAATGAATTAATTTATATTATTAGAAATTATTATTTATATTTAAGAATGGCAATCCAATACAATTCATATTCAATTTCTCATTTCTTCCATTTAAATAAATAAACAAACATTCAAAGTGATTTCAGATAATGAAAGAAGAAATAAAGATACCGATCGAAAAAATAAAAAAAATAAATTCATTTCTCATATAAAATCTTACCTTCCTTTTTGAACGTGCCATTCTCTGATCTCTGATATTTTCAGCTTCTCCTGGTGGTCGTTTACCCCAAACCATGATAGCGATGCTGGTATAAGTGAACACTAGTACTGTTATTGGTATCACATATTGAAGAACCAATAACGCGATCGAATAATAATATCTGCAACAAGTGAAACGCGCAAAGTGAATATAAAATCAATTATCAAAAGTCATTATCCTTTCCTAAGTTCGATAAGACATTAATAGGTGATGAATTCGAGAGGAATGGAAAGGTTACAAAGTTTCCCCTCTATGCTCTCGAAACTTTCGATTAAAATGAGGAAGGCCAAGTCAATTTTAAACAGCGAATTAACATAAAATGATAAATATTGAATAGATTTAAAATTTAGATATTTTTATTTATTTGCATATTTAATTTCGATGATCTTTCCCCCTATAATAGATAATAATATTTATGAATTCTTTCAAAAGGATAAAAAAATACTTTATCAAACAGTGTTATATTTAGATTAAAGAAGAATTATTTGTAAATGTATATCATATAGAAATTATGAAAATTATAATTATTATGATAATTTGATTTTTTTTTATAAATCTTCCAATTTATAAGTTTTTGATTTTAAATTTTTGATGAATATTTTAATTCATTGATATAGCATTTAAAAATATATATGACAAATACTCTATAATTATATACAATATTCTTATATACTCTATAATATTCTTAATATACAATTTATTATCATAATTTTAATCATCATATGATTTGATAAAGAATATATAAATATGCATTGATAATTACCTGTTCTCCAACGATGGCCAAACTTCAATGCAGATATATTGATTGCATCTTTTATATTGGATCGATGGTTGGAAGAGCTTTGAAACAATAGCGATAGGGAGCGATATTACCATAGCCAGCATCCAAACAGCGAGAATTAGAAGTTGAGCTTGCCGTTTGCTCAACCTTGGTTTCAAAGGCCACATAATAGCTATGTAACGATCTATACTGATCGCAACGAGCGTATAAGCACTCACTAGAACTGATACTGCCTGAAAATATGATCGGATTAATTATTTCTTCTCCTCCGCTATTCTTTCAAAATCTGAATATTATAGAAAAATTATGTTTTAGATTTTAAAACGCAGGAGAATGGGATAATTAATTGTTAACTTATTTTTTCAATCAACAAACTTGATGAATATACCCAAATGTGATATATACAGATAATAAGATAATTAATTAATTAAATAAATCACTTTTATTTTTACCAGTTAAATTGGTATATGATATAATGATATAATTAAATGATATAATTTTATCTAATTATATTAAGAAGAGATTTGTTATTTTATTTGACAATAAAAATGATTTCTTATCTGATATTGTATTATAACAAAAATGTTGCAAAGATAAATATAAATGATATTCCAAAATATATCGTAATCACATTCTACTTCTCTTAAAATGATTTTTTACAACAAAAATGCAATAACAAAAATTTTAACAGAAATTTTAACAAATTATATCCAAAGATTTTTTTTAATTATTCTTACAAATTTGTGAAATAATGAAATCATAGATAATCATTTGAAAAATCACACAAAGAAATTATTTTGATTATTATAATATGAATTTACAGATCAACTTATATTGCATATCTTTATTTAAGATGATAAGATAATAAATGAATTTTATTAATTTCATATGTTTCAATATTAGTAAAGAATTTGTTGTTAAAAAAAAAGATCAGAAATTTTGCAAATTTCAATACTTGATTTCCATTTTTGAAAGGATTTGAAAAAATCAGCAGGAATATCGAGATATCCTTTTGTTGGACGAAGCTTTGTCACTTATCTTGACGCAATTCGAGTGGAAATCAAAAAATAGAACCGATAAAATTTCGAAATCGAAAAAAATTTTCGTTCTGCGTTACATAGTTACATGAATATCCATGATTTGAAATATAAAGCTGATTTGATGCATAATTGATGCGTAAACGATGTGAGATTTATTTATTTATTAATCATAGCTGAATACGAAATTCGTGAACGATTGCGTTATCAACAAATTTATGCATTTATCGATCGTACGTACGTATTTTCGAATCAAGTTTCTGAGAGAATTTAAATCGACAAATTGGAAATTATAATTCTTAAAAATAATTAATTTTTGCTTCCCAAATTATTTCGTAGAATTTATTCCTTGATTATAAAATATTGATTTTAAATAATAATTATCACCATATATATGTATATTGACGAATTTTGAAAAGAATTTTTTTTAATTTTCGTATTTGAATAATTTATATTTTTATTTTGTATAGTAATATTTTCATAAAATAATGATCATTTTACACTTTATTTTAAGATGAAATATTTTGTCAATATTATTTTATATAATTATATAATATTATAATTTTAATATTATAATTATATAATATTATAATTTTATATAATTATATAATATTTTAAATAAATTTTAAAAATATTGTAATTATCTTAAAATCGAATTACTTATATCAATTTATTATAAATTAGTTATTAGCAGGATTCCAAAAGCTATATTGATCGAAATTTGAGCAAGCGATAGAGGAGAGAGAATGTATCTAAAATTTTAGTTTTGAATATTTATTAATTTTCTGAAATATTAATAAAACTAAAAATATTATACATTTATGTACACAAAGTTACACATTTAATACTGTATTTATCTATTATCAATATAATTGTATTATTCTATTATCAATATAATAATTTTTATTTACATATTTACTTTACTTTCATTGAATTGAATAATAATAATGAAATATTTATCGTGGGAAAATATTCTTAAAAAAAGAAATATTTATTTTATAAGAATCTTTGTTTCGTTTTATAGGAATAAGAATTAAAAAATATTTAAAACTTCGATTTGTTTTATATTCATAGCCCATTTTTAAATTTGCATTTATTGACTAGATAATTTATTATGTTTTTCATTCTGTTCATACATATATATGTATACAGATATACAAATAAAAATTGCATAAATTCTTAATTAAGTAATATTAAATTCAGCGAATCTACAAATCTGTGTGGTCAATAAGCGAGGAATAATTTTATAATATAAAAATTTAAAAGATTTCAAGATAAGAAAAAATATTATTTTTCCAAAATTTCAAAACAATATATGAAATGTATAAAATTCATGAAATTAGGATTTTATTATTTATCATTTTTTTTATTTTTTGCGAGAATATGTACTTTTATTCAACTTTTTTTCTCACGTTTCTTCATTGTTGATTTTTATGATATTATAATATTAAATCTCGTAAAATATTTACATAGCATAGATCGAGTAAACTATGTTCAAGCAAGTAGAGCAACAGGCGACAGCCATTGTAAGTGATTCTTCAATTTGTTAATACTAGAGCAACTAAAAAAGTAAATAAATATCAAAATGACAGATTTCATTTTTCGATAATTTATAAGAATGTTTTTGGCAAAATTAATATTGATTTTATTGAAAGAAAAATATAATTTCATGATATTAATTTAACATTAAATAGGAATAATAATTGAAATAAAAATTAAAATATTTTTAAATTTTTCTCTTATTTCATTCAATTTTGTATCACATCATTTTTAATCCTCTTAAACTTATAAATGAATTTTGACTATATACTTAATTTTATTTAATGAAACTATCTCTTCCATTCATCTTTCCATGTTCCATTTATCAAAATTACTTTCTCCTTCCTTTCCTAGTATTTAATCGAATTTTTCAAATTAATAATATAAAACGCTTCGTTATCTCAATTTATTAATTTATCGTGATTCATTGCCTTGATATCGATTTCATATAAATGGCACGCATCATTTTATTGTCCTATAAATTTTCTACCTCTTTTAATCTTCATTATTAGCGTAATATTATCTGATAGAATGACGTATTTATAAAACTTTAATAAGATCTAAAAAAAAAAATCTGATAAATTATACTGCCTCTATAAGAAAGATAATTTTTATTTTTCATTCTTAGTAACAATATAGAACAAATTTAATATATAAAAAGAAAAAAATTCTTACGAATTAAAAGTATTTATTTCATTCTGTGAATAATCTATCAATTTCCATAACTAACAAAATTTACGTAAATTTTAAAAAACATCAAAATTCGCATAAATTATTCAAATTCATACAAATCAATGTATAAATCAATTATTAAATTCGATTCTTTTTAATTACATTTCATTGATGATTGGTTAGTACATGAATCATTATTAGATATACAAGTATACTTTCTTTTAAAAATTGTACACATACAAATAATATAATTTATTATATCTTAACTTAAATATTATTAAATTGTCAAATAATAATTAAATATATTATCTATTTATTTTTTGATGAATATGACATCCTGCATTTAGACAAATTAATTTTGACAAATTATTCTTTTTGATAATTGAATATTTTCAGTGACGAATAATTAATGAATAATTAGTGTCTCTTGATGATGAGTAATTACACTTATAAATTATATAATTGTATTATAAATTACATTTATAATTACATTTCTATTTATTTTCAATTGATACAAGTTTTGAAAATTGAATAATGTTTATTTAAACTTTAAAAATTTTTATTTTCCGATTTTGATTTTTCATTTATTTTCATCCGTTATGTAAAATTTTATTGTTTCAATAATAATTTAATTTCACTCATTGCCTTTGATTAATTTTTATTTATAAAACATATTATAGAGATGATTCTTTATTAAGACTAGATTTAGAGATTGATTGTTTGGTCACTAAAACTAAATAAAAATATACGAAACATTTTGTGTTTGAAAGTTTCACGAAAGATATTTCATAGAAAAGATTCAATCCTCGTGAAAACGAAAGAATTTCGAACAAGACTCAATCTGGAAGAATCTTTATCTAAGAAACTTTCCTATATTCTTTTAGTTTTTATTATAGTACTGGAAAAGACGTTCAGTCAAAATTTTTCTAGACTTCAATTTTAAGAGACGAAAGAAATTTATGGCTTCTTTTTTGTTTCTGCAAATTTCGAATTAAAAATATTGCTAGATATCTAGTATTCTTTTAAAAATTATGGAATTGTATTTAGAAATTGTAATTAATATCAAATAATAAAATTACAATAAAGAACAATTTTATAAATCAAATATAAAATAGTTTTAAAAAAAGGAAAAAAAAATCAATAAATAAAATATTCTATTAAAATATCTTTTTTTCTTGCTTTAAAAATCATCGTTCACAATGACTCATTCTTTAATAATCATCTTTCTCCTCTCCATTGTCTTCTTCCCAACATACAAGAGCGGGCCATTAAACGCACCTGCAAATAAATAACGGTCGGACAGAGTTCCGGACCAAATGGCCAATATTGCAGTATTAGTGTACTAATGGAGCTGGTTGGAACGCAGAACAAGGCTATCAGGATGTCTCCCAGAGCGAGGTTCACGATGAAGAAGTTGGTGACGGTCTTCATTCGGGGGCTGCTGTGCACCACGTAGCAGACCAGGCCGTTTCCTGTTAACGCAATCACGAATACCGTGCTATACACGAAATAAATGATACCGCGAAACCAACTTGTGGAGAAGATGCTCTGGGATCCGAAGTAGTTGCAATCGTCTGGATTCGTAAGATTTAACTTGTAGCCCGCCAGACCATCCAACAAGCCATTCGTTTCGTTGTTCATGCTCATCGTGATCCCTCGTGCTGCATTCTGATCTGAAAATAGGATTTATTCAGAAAGTTAAGGATCGATTTGCGGACAGAGAGGAGTTGAAACGAGCAATTTCGTCTGAATTATAGGGTTACGCTCTTTTGGAAAGTTTTGGGACTACGTACACAGGTTAGGTTAGGTATGTAATCAAGTCCTTTCTAAAATGAGAAATGGTTTAAGACTCGTCAAGGCCAAACGATGCTTGACACAACTTTTTTATTTAATCGATGTATATAATATTGAGATAAGATATTGAGATGAGATTAATATATTCGTGAAATATTTTTCAAACCTCAAAAGAGGAGACAAAAGAAATATTAAATATTATAATATATAAAATGTTTCATGAGTTAATATTAAAGAAACGAATCGGAATATTATTTATCTTTTGCACGCTTTCAAAGATTAATGCCGAATGTTTTAATTGAAATCTACATATATTTGCATATCTTTTGATATTGTAGTTGGCATCGAGACGTTTTCGAAACATGAGGATAATATGGATCTTATCACTTTAATTAAAGGTATTTATCTTTTTGAATTTTGTTATCTCGAAAAACAATTTAATGAACTATCGCACGTGTTGCACATTATATGTTTATATTATACGGATTATCATAATCAAAATGAATATAATATAATATATTTAAATAATATAATATATTTTAATAATATATTTAAATAATAAATTTAATATTAATATATTTAAATTATTAAATAAAATTTAAAATTATTGAAGAAATTCTTGAACTTGTTAGATAGATATTTCTTCTAATATTTAGAGATTCAAATTGCAAAAAATTATCAACACATCGATGAATAAATTAGATACAATCTATATATATAAAAATATAAAAATACAATCAAAATCGCGATATACACGTGATATTTTGCATAAAGGATTAGCAAAGGCAATATATTGAATATTAATTAAATTTGTTCAAGTTCCTGTTCTTTCCAATTTCACTGGAATGGTAAAACTTATATACTATCGTGATTAATTATTGTACGCGAATTTTCAATTATTTCACTATTTTCCACGTTGAGTGGAAATCTCTTTCATCTTCTATCGTGTTAAAATCGAATAGCTTGTCTTTTTCACACTCGCTTTTTATCGACACGTATCTACGCAGTTTGGAAATTCAACGCAGTTTTCAAACAAAATCCTGATTAACAGAACATTCTGTTGTCGATAAGATTTTATTGATGTGACATTTATGTCGAATTAGAAGAAGAGAAAAGAAAAAAAAAAAAGAGGAGATATAGCGAAATTCCATTTTTAATTGAGATCCGTAAATGGAATAGAATGGTTTGCTATATGGTCAAGTAATTTGAATAATTAAAATGCAAGATGTTCGTTTAATATTCTAGAAATAATATTCTGGAAATTTAATTTAAGACTTTCTTTGTTAATTTCATATACTTGTGCTCATTTGCAAACAATGATGATTTTAATTGGTTATTTGAAATTTGATTTCCTTTAATGTTTCATTCGTTTAAAGAAAAGATTTAATGATTCGTTAATTGTATATTATATAGAGATATTAATATCGAATTTAATAATAAAAAGTAATAAAAATAACATGCATATGCAATAATTAGAAGATCTTATTTCTTTTTAAATAAAAATAATTTCTATTAATAATAATAATTATATATAAATAATTGAGTTATAAAGAAGTCAAAATTAATTTTTACAACTTTATTTTTTTAAAAATTTATATTATAATATAATAAATTGCAAAATGAATAATATATTATCACATGAATATATCATATTAATATATCAATCATATTGCATGTAATGTTTATTTAGAATGACATTTCATTGTATTATAAATAAATAATTAATTTCTGATTTGTTATTTATATCCTTAATTTATAACGATAATTTCATATAAATATTATTAACAGTGAAAGAAACATATTAATTATTTATAATAATTGGAATATCATTTTTTTTAATTATTATATATGCACATAAGTATTTCATTATTAGTTTTACCATTTAATTATTTATTATCTTTTTTAAATAATTTAATCATAAATTTAATTACTCATGGTTGAAATCTTTCTAGGTGGACAAAATTTATTTTTAAGATTTTTTTAAATTTTGCAATTACCTTCAGAAATAACTAAAAAATTATAAATAATTATTTAAATTTTAAATAATTCATTTCAGCTTCAAATAAATTCAATATTTAACATATATATAAGTTGTACGAAATTGGTTAATTTTTCATTCGAAAATCATGAATGAAATGTAGCGAACAAAAACGATTGAAAACTTGTTTTGTTTTTTTTTTCCTATAGTAAATATTTTTACTATGTAAAGAAAGAAAAAAAGAAAAAAGAAGAAGAAACATGCACACATTTCGAATGATCAAACTATAATTTTGAAAAAAAATAATTTATTCAAAATAAAAATATGAAGTTTATTCGGATATGAATAAAAAAAAGGAAAAAGAATAGCTTGATTGAAAAGTAAATTTGAAAAAAATCAATGGATGAAAAAGTGATAATAAGGATAATTTTTAAAATTTTACGTACATAATTTAGTTTTATCAAATATCCATATTATTAAAAGCAAAAATTCTTTTTTTAAAGAGAATCAATTGTTACGATTTTAAAATGCATATATTGTTCGTTGAATTAAAATTTAATATCTTGCATGCATAAAAATATCATAGAAACGATATAGCTTAAATTGAAAATAAATATTGTCACGTTTATCGAAAAATATTTTTTAATTTCATCGAGAAGATTGAAATTTATCCGATGTTTCTTATTATTTTAATAAAACTAACAAATGAAGAAAATAAATAATTACTTTAAAGTTTTTTTTATCGTAAATTTTATTCCATTCTTCTTCTGTGTTTTGAATTAAATTTTTTTGAAAAAAAAATTGTTTTCAAATTAATTCTGAAATTTTATTTGAGAAATAAATTATTTTTAAGTGATTTATTTATTAAATATTTTATTATTTTAATTAATAAAAAATAAAAGTTAACAAGTTATAAATTTCATATAAATTTCATATATAAGAGGTTAATATATATTTATATTATATTAAAATAAATATTATATAAAAATATTATATAAAAATATTATATAAATATTATATAAAAATTGTTATATAAAATAAAAAATTAAATTCAGTAGAAAAATAAAGATTAAAAAAAGATTGAAAAATCTTTAGTGAAGATATGAAATCGTGTGAACGTTATTTTAAAATCGTATCGGATTAACTGCAAATCTTGTTTTTAAAAAATATTTGTTTCGATTGTGTATCATGCAAACCAAAATCCTTAATAATAATTTTTTTCTGTATTTCATTGAATAAATAATTCATTTTTACATTGATTATTTTTGATTCAAAGATTTATTTTATTTTTAGTATATTTCTCAATAACCTAGATACTTGATTATAAGCTTATCGATGGTGATATCCGATAGGTCAGAACTTTGTCTTTCCTATATATCCAGAAACGGAAACGCCAATGTATTCTAACGTGACATTTATGTTTCTTGTATACAATCAATCACAAAAGTCTTCATACAAAGAAATCCATTTAACTTGAAAAATTAAATTTTAATGAAAATTTGTATATATATCATTTTAAAAATCTCTTTGAAATTAATCTTACAATTTTTATCATTGTTTATATATAATTTCAATTGAAAATGTTTCTTATAATAGGATAATAGATCACTAAATTCTAAATATTTTAATAAGTTTAAAATTTTTCCTTCATCTTAATATAAAGTTATATTTAAGAAACGAAAATAATATTGAATTATTTTTGGTTTTTTTGAAAAAACTTATGCTTACTAACTTATATTAGGTGAATACTTTTGCGACTGATTGTACATAGACCAAAGATATTTTCAAAGTCCTCTCGGATTGTTCTACATCAGAATGATTGAAGTAATGATAAATCGGTATTTGTAGATAAAAGTATAGATACAATCAATCTTTTAGAATGTTCGTTTTATTAGAAATTGTCAGGTGTATGTTTTTTATATGTTATATGTATTTCATTTAATATCCCTTAAGCATTCCCTTTTCATTAGAATGTTAGCTTTTAAAAAATTAGAATGGGATTGTCTGTTGAATTTATTCATTGAGGAGAAGATTCTTTATTCGAATGGAAAATTTGAACTGACAATTTCTTTTCTATATAATAGATAGCTCTATGAATATTAAGTCTTGGAAACATCCGATAGCGATTAATTCTCGAATATTTCACTCGATAGAGCAGCAGCAATCTGACAATTGAAGGATCCATGTTTAACTTCCGGTTTAACAATCGATCAATTCTTTGCCTATAGATAGAAACTATCTCGCTTATGGCTTATTTTGCTATGAAATCGTAGAAATTATAGTATATAATAAATGTAAATTTTATTTTTATCATTTTATTATTTAATATAATTATATAATTCAGCATTAAAAGCACTAGACATTAAATTGAGAAAAAATATAAAGTTCAAATATTATTATTAAAACTGAATAATATTTATGTCAGTTTCATTTCATATATTATTTATTTACTTAAAATGTTTTTTTGTTTAAAAGATTCTTCCAGCTGGATCATCATTGGTCTATTAATTTATATATATGTTTATATATTTTAAAATTTTATTATTAGAAATTAATAAAGTTAAAATTAATAATTAATCATTATATAGCTTCATCAAGCTTTCAAGAATTTTTATTTTTTTAAATTCTATTATTATATTTAATAAAATTACAATATTATTAATTTTTGATTCAATAAAAGAATTATTATAGAACAATGTCATCAAAATATGAATAATACATCAATGTGTTGCCAATATAGAAAACAAAATTCTCTATTATGAACACATGAATCGAAGAATGTTTAAACATTCGTTATATGAATTTTGCGGTAAAATATCACTCCATAAAGATGGTAGATAACATATTGCATGCATGCTTTCCTTGTCTTCGAAGGGAAAGGTTAAAGGTTCTTCAGTATGC